AGGTGTCTTTCCCCATTTATACAAGGAGTCGGCACACAGCCCATTAGTCCTTCTAATTCTATTGTATGTCATCCATATGTGTCGGGGTAGATTAAATCCTGGAGGTATACTATTAGGATTAATATGCTCAGAAATATCTTGGGGGGAATAGCTACTCCACGCTTCCATCCACTTTTGTGTGGTGTTCTGATGATTGGCCAGCAGCTTAAGCGCTGTCAAGAGTTGTGGGTTTCTTGACTTTAATCGGCATCTTAAGAGATCAGCAATGTAGCCATGAATGGGTAGAGAGGAATTTAACAGGATCTTACTATACTCCCGGATGAGAGCTTCTTGTCGTCGTAAGTGCGGGGGAAGTATGTGACTAACTGGTAACCAGTAACTAGATGTAGATTTTATGCACCCAGTAATTAGCCTCATCATATGGTTGAGTTGAACATCAATAAGTCCTGTATGTGAGCTGTTTATCTATACAGGTGCGCAGTATTCCACTGCAGAGTTGCAAAGCCCGAGGGCTGCACATCGAAGAGTTGTGAGTGTTGAACAGGATAGGAACAAGACAGAACCTTGTGGGACACCATTGGTTCATGAAAGAGGAAGCTAGGGTATTCTGGGAATTTAGAATTCAGCGATGCAAGTGCCATACAATGTCTCAGACTTAACTGTTGATAAGAAAGACAAAAAAATCTTGATAATGAACTGTGGCAAAGAAAGCAAAGATAGTATCAATAGGTGCTTTGGAACAATTCCAAAACACCCGGAGCATTGTTTGAATATCATTGGCACTGACAAATTCACCTTCAGTCAGTTGCAAAAGGCAGCTTTACTTGGAACAGTTTATATCCTGCAACTATATTTTTAATATTATTAACAACATATGCCTCTCTCAGGTCCTTGGGAAGGATTCAGGTGAACAAAAATGCCACTTCCAGTCTAAACATCTGGCTGACAATGCGACCAACATAATAATAATCTAGAAGTGCTTGTACATGCTTGTACTGTATCTAGCATGTGACCAATATGATAATTTTTTAAAGGCCTGGGAGGCAGAATGTTAATTATTAAAGTTTTTAGACTGCATTACTACAAATAAAGATGTAAAATTATGGTGATGCTTTGTGCCTTGAAGCATCTTTCCCAAATAGAACTAAACCATTTTAATTATTCCATATTGAGATGCTTCTCTTTGTGAGTTCCAAGCCTCCTGTTCAATAGAAAACCATTTCAAATTAAACGGAGCTACTTATTACATATTAGATGAGTTTGGGGACAAATAACATTAATTTTTTAAAAAATATTTTCCCTGTACAACACTTTGGTAGATACTTTTAGTAGTATGTTAGCAAATTCTTAACTGCATCTCATTAATCTTAAAAGAGACCAATTTTCAATGGCTGCTGTTCTTGAGGAGAAAGGAGAAAGGCTATATGGTTTTTTAAGTTTATGGTTCAGAACAAAGAATAGGAATTCAAAAAAGAATTCCTATTTGTGCTGCCCACTTGCACTTAAAAGTGTTTTATGTATACAGCATAAAGATTGCATTGACTGTGGTTGCTGGGCTAGGCAGTGATATCCTGCGACTATATTGACAAAGGATCCACTCAGAACTTATCCCATTAACCTATCCTAAACCTCTACCCACAAAAGAATTAGCTTCCTGATAGAACATATGAATAAGGGAAGGGGGCAACTACTGTATTTGTTGAAGTTTTCCTTTTGAACTAGGCATTTTCAGAAAAAAAAGCAGCAATTCTTTATGAAAAATCCATGCTGTGTATGTGTTTTATTATTCCTATTATATCTTTCTTAGTGTGTTAGAGGATTATAGGCACATATTCTGTTGGTTTAAAATAAAACTTGGGTATAGGAGTAGTTTTAAACTTATTCTGACAAATTTATTGGTGGACAGAGCTTTACAATGTAGAAACATCATTTGCATATCGCCCCCAAACAATCTGGGTCCTTATTTTACTGACTTTGAAAGGATGGAAGGCTGACCTTGAGTTCTGTCAGGATCGAATTCCAGGCTGTGGGCAGAGTTTTTCCTGCAATACTGCACTATAACCACTGAGGCATCAGGGATCTTTGGTTAAGCACAATGTCACATGACTACAACTTTCTGCCTACATCTCCATTGACTTTGCTTGTCAGAAGCTGGTTGAGAAGCTTGCAAATGGTAGTCATGTGACCATGGGATGCTCTGACTATTATAAACACATGCTGGATGCTAAGCACCCAAATCACAATCACGTGTGTGCAGATATGCTTCAATGAGCCCAGGATTGAGGACTGTTTATTAATCTCCTTTTTCAGCATGATCATAATTTGAGACTGTTGCTGAATTAGTGATTGGTAAGGAAGGACTAAATGTATAAAGTAATTTACAAATTTCCACTAAAGGCCTGATCAGTGATCATCATAAGCTCTCCTTAGCCCTCTGTTACTCGGGAATATGTGTGACTGATTTTTTCCACTCAAGAAAAATTGAGCCATTATTGGAAAGACAACTGCTGAAATATCATAGGGTGTGATGATTGCCCACTAAAATGAATAAAACTCTTTATTTCCTCTGGAATGGCCACTCTAATTGGAATTTGTGTATAGCAGCATCTTTGTGTGGAAATGTTTAAGGATCACACAAAAACTTTCTTATGGCTATAAAGAGATCTGTGATTGTGGAAGTAGATTCTACAGAATTTCCAATTTGTCATTTCTTAGGAGCAGACAGTTTCATACTGTAGGACCTCACTGAGGTCAACTCATGAGCAAAGAAATATGACTAGATGGATGGACACAAGAAAAAAAAAGACTGTTGAAATCATGTCATGTGATATTGCAGTTTGCTGTAGTGCTGTGTTGGCTCATTTGCAGCTTCACTTATCTCTCCTTTGTTCAGTTAGAAGATATATCAATTCTTGAACTTTATGTATAATGATTTGTTATTTAATAGTGACTTCTGCCCAGCCTGAATTAGCTTAGGAAAGTGCTGTCCCCAGTCATTTCTAGGAAATACCTTTTCTTTCTTAGAGAATGTGATTATTTTTCCGTCTACATAGTTTATTATAGTAGACTAGCATGAAAATTAGATTGCATAATTTATGTCAAGCTGAATACCACCCAATCCCCAACCATTTTGTTTTGTCTTGTGTTTGATGACCCATATCTGTGTGTGTGTGTGTGTGTGTGTGTGTGTGTGAGAGAGAGAGAGAGAGAGAGAGAGAGAGAGAGAGAGAGAGAGAGAGCAATATTGGAAGCAATCAGAAGGTGGTAGTAAATAGCAGTGGTGTTAGTGCTGTTTACTTAGAAATAAAATCAGTTGAAATCCAAGTGTGGATTTTCCCATTAAATGTTTAGGATCAAATTACTAAGTAAAGGTCAAAGAAATAGCTGAACAAGTTAAAATGGGGAATGCCAGTTATGGGTATTCTGCACCTACCAAAATAATGGTGTGATGAAAAGCACAATCTACCAACAAATAGATCACAAGTTTTTATCTGCTCTGTATACTATTTGGCTAGGTTGTGATCTTCTGTCAGTATTAAAGCTTGCAGAGAGCCAATTTTTTTCTTAAGGAACCTAGAGGAATAAATCTAAAAGGTGAAGTTTGATCTTAGACTGGAGAATATGGGTGTATTAAAATACCTAATTAAATTACCAGGAATAAAATGCTTCCATGAAAATTGTACTTTCTGATGTGCAGGACATGATTCATCTAACCTTGAATTTCAGTAGAACAGGTTACTTATGATGTCAAGATAAATATGTAGACCAGCTTGCTTCACATGAGGAAAAATGTGGAGGCAAGAGAAATGCAAATGTAACAGATGGTAACAAGGTCATTTAGTATCTTCCTTTCTTGGGAAATGTAGAAAGATGTTAAAAAAACCTTTTTTTATACTGAGGACTGCATTCCACCCTAAATACAGTATCCGTATTTTTAAGTTTGACATTTTATAGCTGTAACTATGAATGTGGCTGCTGTTTGTTTACTTTTAATTATAATGTGCAATGATGTTTTAGTGCATTTTAGAAATTATGATTTTAGTTTCAGTGGTGTTTTAGATTGATCTTATTGTTAGCCATTGCAGGCTGGTTTGACCAGGAGTGAGTGGGAGAAAAGAGAGAAAGAAAGAAAGAAAGGTTTTGTGTTATAAACAGCACAGAAGAAGAATAAAAATTCCTACTTCGACTGTACTCTATGATCTGTACGTTTGCTACTTTTAATATTTAACATTACATAAGTCGGAGCATAATATGACAAACAGATTCTAACATCTTAACCTGGTTTGTAATCACATAATTTTGAAGCTCAGAATAGTTATTTGCTTGGTATTCAAGTTACCAAGCTTGCAGTTTCAACCTGTGTGTTTTTTGTTTTTTGTTTTTAATTTGATTTATATGCCGCCCTTCTCCGGAGACTCAGGGCGGCTTACAATGCGTTAAGCAATAGCCTTCATACTTTTGTATATTTATACAAAGTCAGCTTATTGCCCCCACAAACTGGATCCTCAGTTTGAGTGTTGAGTGAAGTTATGCTGCAGCATTTATAAACATGTGTAGAAGTTTCTTTTAATAAATAGGCTTTGACTAATACCTTCAAAGTGCACAAATTGCTACAGTGGCACAAAGATAATGCTTTAGAGTTTCTCCTTCAATCCGAAGGAATACCAATGCCATAATGAAAACTTAACAGGGTCAGAATGTTATTTTAGCTCATAGCTTCCAACAAAAATGAGGTGAAGTTCTAGCAAGAAAGTGCTAGAAGTTCATGTGCTATAGAACTTGCGAATCCCAAGTTTCACAATGGGATTATAAAAGATGTAAATGAATGTAAAGATCATGATATGAAGTTGAAGGACATGTACTGTTTTTTTAAGCCAAATGCACACATGCCCTGAATAACACAGTGGTGAATATAATACATTCTAAGAGTCCATTGGAGTGGGACAACCAATAAATTGAAATAAAGCAAAATAAAAGAAATAACTTTGTTTTGTTTTTAGATTTCTCAGTTGATCACTGAGTCTGGCCGCGATGGACTGACCGAAGCTGTGCTGAACCATTACAATGCAGATAAACCTTCCTTGTATAGCTTCCCCAGTTCCCAGACGACCTGTGTTGCTAGTGATACCTCCACAGGTACCTCGGTGGCAGCTTCCTTTTTTGCCAGGTAAGACTGAAAGTTCTGATTTGGATTATTTTAAATTGTCAAATAACCTTATAAAGAAAGCACACTTGAAGACTTGATGGAAGGGTATAGTAACATAGATAACATTACATGCTGCAATTTTACATAGAATTATTTGTTGGGTAGGGAATAACATGAGATATAATTTTTGTCCTAATTTAATTGGGAAGAAATGCTTTTAAATGCAATTGAGTATGAAAGCAACATTCTCTGGAACACAGTCCTTTATTCAAGAGAGAGTGCCTGCTGAATTGAGGCTCCTATCATTTGTTGACTGCCACCGTATATATATTCATGTCACTCTAGTAATTTTTACAAGTGATCCTTTGTCACTAGTCGATGGCCTTAGTTCTATTTACAATGTAACGTGTTTCCAAGGTGAAGGCAATTGAATTACTCCAAACTAGGAGGTTTTGTTGAAAATAACCACCTGTATGCTGAGTTAGTCTTTTTTTTTTTTTTGGAAAAATCATTATGGAAATAATAGTAATTCTTGTCTCTGATTTGACATGTTAGAAAATCCTACAGATATGTCTAGACTGAATCAAAACAATCCTATCATTTTCTTTTGCACACTTTACCAGAATCATAGAGACTTTCTGACAATAGCATAATCAAAACAATGCCCACAAATCAAAATATTATTGATTTTCACTGAACAGATCAGCAGAAATAACTGAAATCTTGAGTCAATACTACATGTGTTCCTCAGGAAGTGGGTGACCTTTTGCGGCATACTTCCAAGGGTCCAATTAATTATTTTAGGTAAATCAATCTCCTAACATTTTTATTACAAATTGGGCAACATTTACTGTACAGTGCATCAATCTGATTATCCTGTATGTTTAAGCATTATACTGAAAGTAATGGATGTTGCAGTAAAAGATCAAAGTATAAGATCCAGTCTGGTATTGATTTATCAGAATCTATCATTAACTTAATCCAAGAGAAAAATGGAAATGTCTTCTTTTACCTCAGGGCTAAATTACTTTCTACTGAACATGAATAGTCATAGGCTGCTCACATACATTCAGCTGTTTTATAAATACACACACAGAGAGAGACAGACAAAAGTTCATGTGATTATATCTCTGGTGTTTTCCTTGTTGAACTATCTGGAAATGTATAATGGATCTACCTGTCTTCTGGTTCATATTTACCTTTAAATATGTTAGAGTTGGAGGTTGGATCTGCTAAAATAATTGCTAAAACAAAAGTTTGAATCAGCCCTTAGCATCTCTGTCTTTTATTCTGGAGAGTTGTAGATTGGAACAAGAGAAATTGGCAGCAAGGACATCCCAGCAATTGTTATCCTTTGTCAAGTTAGACAGATAAAATAGATGTTTGGTTTGCAGAATTTTTGTTCAAATTTCTATAAATATTTGAGTAACAAGAAATTGTATCTGTAGATGAGAAAATAAATTACATCGAAGAAATGAATAATTATTGCTACCTATACATTACAAATGTAAGTGGTATACTTTGACTTTCAGGATGCAAAATAAAAATTCAGAATGAAAACAGGACATTAACATTATTCTTGGAGTAGAAAATACCAGATTCAAGACATTGATGAATCTAGTGTAAAATAGTTGCTGTTGCAAGTCTTATTAAAGAATTAGAAGAAAACCTGTATGATCTTAATGATAATCATTTGCTTTGCCAACTTTCTTCCAGTTATAACTAACTAACAGGCTAACACAGTTGCTAAAGCGCAGCTGTAACATTTTTAACACTCCAGCCACACAATTACCATGTCTTCTGAGTACTGTTGACAAGGCTGGTAAAAGAAATAGTGTTTTGTTAAGAAGGCAATTCATTCAGCCAACTTTCTCCATGCAATTAGTGGGCACAAACCAATGGCTACTTGAAAATGTAAAGAAACCTCTGTGTAATTTCAAGAAAAGTTAACATATGTCTAGCTTTCAGCTTGGCTCAAGGTTATATGTTTATGTATGGTTTTACTTTACAACAAGATCACAGTAGGTTGGGGGGAAATTATAAAATGGCAGTGTTGTTTAAATATATAGCTGGTTTATACACATTCCTCAATTTAGCATAACCATAAATCTTTTTGTGTATTGACCTGAAATGATTATTTTATAAAGGAACATGTGTGCTTCCAAAAGGAGCTACTTTTTCACCCAAAAAAGTACTGCATTCCTGAAAAATAAAAGCTCATTTATGATATGATACAAGAAATTGATCTTGTGGACCGTTAATCTTCAAAATCAGTATAAACGAGTTGGCCAGTTAGAAATACAAAAGTGAAAAAAGACCAAAAAATATTTGTAGTTGCTACTGCGCTTTGTGCATGCATGAGTGTGAACATGATATGTGTCCCTTTCCCCATGGAAGATTTACATAATAGCTCTATTTGTAGGATAGTCTTGGATATACTATATAAAAAAGAGTATCACTGACACATTTCAACCAATATGTGCAGGATGTAACTATGGAGGAAGCAAAGCCATTACAGGTAATACTTGACTTACAACAGTTCGTTTAGTGACCATTTGAAGTTAAAACGGCACCGAAACAAGGGACTTATGACCATTTTTCATACCATTGCAGCATCCCTGTGGTCCACATGATCAAAATTCAGACAATGGCAACCGACTCATATTTATGACAGTTGCAGTGTCCTATGGTCATGTGATCCCTGTTTTGCAATGTTCTGACAAGCAAAGTCAAAAGGAATCCAGATTCACTGAACACTTAACTTAATCACTGCAGTGATTCACTTAACAATTGTGGCAAGAAAGATTGTAAAATGGGACAAAAATTAACTTAAATATTTCACTTAGCCACAGAAATTTGAGGCTCAGTTATGGTCATAAGTCGAGGATATGTTGACAGTTTTGCTTTCCAGCTATGGACACAAATGTCTGAACAAAAGAATCTGGTGCCTTCCACAGGTATTCAACTATAATTCCAATAATTATCAACTAGCATAGTATGGGGAAAAGAAAGAAATTGCACCTCAACCAGAAAACTTATTATGTAGTTGTGCTTGTTGATTCTAATTTAACTTTTGCCACAGAGTTGTTTTGCAGATAAAATAAACTAATCCTCTTTATCATGCCAGGGGCTCCTAAGGTAGGAGGGATAAATAAACAATATGATAGAAGCAGTTAGACATTTATTTTGCAGCAGAATGCCCAAAGGCACCCTTATGTAAAGCACCAGCAATAAATGATGCAACATTGCTATATATATATATGTATGTTCACAGTTTTTTAAAAAGAAATTCAGCAATAAATAAAACATGTACATTTAAATGAGCACTTAAGAAGTTCCAAAGTGTTGCTAACTCCTAAGCAATAAGAAGAGCTTATATGCCTACGTATCTATTATGTAGATCTTCACACCTATGTGTAAGTTTGACAAGCTCAGTCAACATAAAGGATGGGAATCTGGGTACAAAGGCCTTCAGAAAGATTTGCTTTGATCATCTGTGTGAAGAGCCCTCACTGATAGGAAATACCCACCTGAGTCAATAGAATTAAACAGTTCCCTAATTCTAAAACCTTGAAGTGACTTGGGTAGAATGGATAGTTATCTTCCCCCTCCCCAAATAAAAATTGAATTCTAGAATTAGAGACTTGTTTACGCCTAAAGTTCATATTGAAGCATGTTATTCCATAGTTCAGTACTCTTGTTCTGAACTTAAATAAACTAAAAAATACTTACTTTCCTTCATGTTATTCCATTTTGCAATATCTTCATTTTCAGGAATGAGTGATTGCAAGAAGGATGTCCTGGTCCAGAAGTGAGTGCAGATAAATCAAGGCAAAGGACCTCCTAGCTACATCTGGTACCTGCTCTAGGGGGACCCCCAAAGTTTACACCTGTTCCATTTGGAGAAATGCAACACATCCAGAAATAAAGTTAATAGATTCCTCATACTGGAAGAGCCAATCATTCCATTTTGGTCTTGACAGTATTGCTTGCCCAACCCAGGGTTCAGAAACTCTAGTATCACCTGCATACTGATCGTTTTGGGCCCTATACTTGCTAGCAAATGATTGCACTCAGTGCTTTCATGCAGATATTAACTGAGAGGAATGAGAGTGTTGAGCTCCAAGACCCACCATAAGTAATGGATCAAAGGCTTGACTCTCCCCATCCCAACAGTGACTGGAACCAACCTAAGAAAAAAGAAACACCATGTAATACCATACTTCCCACTCCTAATCCCATGGTCAGCCCAGAAATTTATTTATTTATTTATTTATCTAATTCACACACATAAACTCAGGGCAGCTTACAACATTAAATATTATGAAAATATAAAACCCATAAAACCCTTCTCCCATCATGAAAACTGGAAGAGACATCAAGAAGAACTAGGAAAATCTGGCTACTCCCTTCTAGACTCTGCTAAAAGTCATTCTCAAACATAGCCAATGCTATTTCCATGCTATGTCCTGGTTTAAAATCCAACTAGAAACGATTTAGAGGATCTGTTTCATCCAGGCTCTCTAAAGTTACAAGCTAAACATGTTTCCAAAAACGGGAAGGTTGGGTCTATCGGTGGCTTTAGACGAGGAAGTAAACATTGACCGATGCAGAGAATCATATCTCTGAGAGAGGAATATCTTCTTGATAATACACATTATGTCAATCATCTCACTGAGAATAAGAGCTCAAAATTTCCTTTCCTTGAAGTCTTTTGCTTTAGTTCTGAAATGAACAATATGTGGTCTTTCAGATGCTGTTGTATTTTCTCTGATTATTCACTATTGGCATATTCATTGCAGCTGATGGAAACTAGAGTCAACAATATCTGGAGGGGCACGTGTTGTCCAACGTTGTTTTAGTTTATACTTCGTTTACTTTCTGTTGAATTATTCCAATTATCCCAAGAGTCCCTTAGGAGTTGGGCGGCATAGAAATGTGATAAATTAAATTAAATTAATTTATGATCCTGTTTTGGTGGTCTTTATATTTATATTGGACAATTATTATTTTTTTTGCTA